ATTTATTGCTTTGATTTGTATATTGCTAATAACTATTGTAGGTAATTATAATTACTTGTTTATTGAATATTTGTAGTTCGTATCTGGTAAAATGCTTTTAAATCTAACTTTTCCTACCAGTTAGCAAATAGTAACCAAAATCTTTGGGTATGAATTGCTTCTTTTCTTCAGTGTGTTGTAAATAATTTTTCCTGAGTATCTTGTCTTTTTGGTTTTCTTTCATGGTGTCTTTGGTCCACATTTTCTCTGAAATTTGAGCATTTTGATGGCACCTAATGTCTCAGATTTTCATTAGCAGTTTTTAGGATGCAGACCATTGGGCAATGACTAAGAATTCTCTGCCATTGGCTTTTTATCCAAAAACTTTAAATGTTAGGCATTTAACTATTTTTTAAGTGATGTTGTATGTTCTGTTCTAATTAGTGCTTTGCGTTGCTTTAGTTTTCCACTTGCCCAGAACTGCACAATGATCCCTAGCTGCCATGAATTATGAGAAACATCTTCATGGCGGTCCTATATGGTTCCATTCTTTGACAAGAATTCTTTCGATACTTCTATTTACTTCTGCTATTTTGTTGAGTAGTTCAGGGGTTACTTTTGTAAATTTGCCCTTCACTTTCATGCAAGGGAGGGATGAAGTTAAATAGCGTGTTGGCTCACATCATAGAATGCGGGTTTCATGGAGACCAGCTTCAGAAAGATGTGACAGACGCAGGTCTTAGGCCACAGGGTTGGGCTGCTTGACAGAGCAGAAGCCTTTCAACATGGACATCCCTACTATTGCTTTATCTACAGGGGCTACACCAGTTGCTGCCCCAGAAATTTCCATGACACTTCCTCAAGTCTATTAGAGTGCAAGTGACCCCTCAGTGGTCTCTGTCGTTCATGGTGTACACCTGTTGCCCTAAAGGCTCTATCCTTTACAGTGGCAGCCCCTGACCAGAATGCTAGGCATTTTTGTAGATTGCTCTTGACAGATTACAAGCAACAGTGGATTGGGTCCTCTGAGTGTGTCAGTGGAGAATTCTGTACGTGATTTTGAGACTCTAGTGCTCCACTAGCACTTCTGTATAGTTGATAAGTGTTGGGAAAGGGTCAAATGGCCTTTATTGTTGCAGGATCCCTGACGTTTTAGTTTTGATTGTCAACCTGATTATATGAGTGCAGATTATGTAATGATACCTATAAAGTATCTACAGATTCTCACGATACGGAAATACTCTCACCCTACCCAGTTTGCTTTGATCTTTCCTCAATCTAATAAGGTGAATCAGTCTGTAGGACTCATTACTATCCTCTCTATCTAACTCTCTCTCCACACAAAAAAAAAAAAAGAAAAGGAAAAGGAAAAGGAAAGGAAAGGAAAAAAGCCAATGGATAGTAGCTTCTTAGAGTCTGAAAATTAGGATCTGGACTAATAATTATTTTGAAACTATTTTCCATACCTAAGACATTTAGCCATGTGTGTACTTACCAGGATTCAGCTCCAAGCACACTTAAAGCCATTGTTGTTACTATTCTAGATGATGCCAAAACATTAATAGGAAGCACTGGCAACTGGATTATTTTAGCAGCAAAATTCTGCTGTGTTTTTTAGCTCTCAGAAATAACCAAGGACATCATAACAGCTCATAGAAAGAAAGCCGAGAGGAGCCACTCGTGAGATGAAGAAGTGACATCATCACGGTTCAAAGTGGGAAAGCGAGCCTTTGGGCCCAAGGAAGACCTGCGTCTGGGAAGACAGCCTGACATAGGTTCTGAAGGGGATCCTCTTCCAGTCCCCTGAATGCCTAGGAATACACAGCGCTATTGTTATAGGCGACTATCAGGAGTCCCTGAAAGGAGAAGCAGATCCTTCAATTCCATAACACAAAGGGAACTTCTCTGTCCTTTAGGTTTCCAAGAGTGGGAGGGAAGATTACCTACTGCGTGACCTAGCCTGACCTAGCCAGCCAGCTAGTCAGAGGCTGGAGGGTACTGGATAAATGTAAAATTATACTTCAAGGTTAACTTGGGTTTGCTCACAGTTGCCATGGGCAACAAGGGGGAAGACTGCAAGGCCATAGTAAACTTTGCTTATCAGTTCTCTGTAATGAGGCAGGGAGGGAGAGGCAGGGTAGAGGAAATTGGGGAGGATGTGGCTTGAGTTTCAGGGGAAAGATAACAACTTGGCAATGAAAGGATCTGTGATCTAACATTCTAGAATAACTTAGGACACTTCTGTTTTGAGCAGGACCGTAAGGTTGTGCTCACTTGCAGCCGCAGAGATGGGAGAGGGACCCTTGATATTGACATAGCTACTGTACCTATAGAATAGAAGAACTAGGACCAGGGCTTGAGGGAGGTATAACTAGATCCCTCTCAGCCTGCCACATCTCTTAAGGTGGCCTCATTTTTAAGCAACATGATCATGGTCCAACAGCTAGTGTTAATATTGGTAATCATCTCAAGTGATGCTAGGGGACCTTATATTCACAATATCTATCCATTTCATTTCTGAGATAAGAATTCTGGATGACTTTCTCAGTTGCTGCTCTTCAAGAGTTGTTTTCTGCTCCTCCTCTTTATCATCATCACTCCTGGTATGGTTTAGATATGGCTTGAGTATGCCCCATGGTGTTTATGGAAGACTGGTTCCCAATGTGGTCATACTAAAAGCATATTAAACCATGTGAAAGGAGCCTAGAGAAAAGGGATTATGTCACTGGGTGTTCCAACCTCAGAGGAGATTAACATCGCTAATATAATATTTTACTCTATTAGCATAATATTAGATTAATTTAACATGGATTGACATAGTTCTTGAGAGACCCCAGTTAGTTCACCTGAGAAATAGTTGTTATGAAAGTATCAGATTGACTCCTCCATCCTTTTGGTGTCCTCTCTCACTGTATGATCACTCTCACTGGTAACCTGTTTCTTTTCTACTCATCACCTCCCCAGTCTGAAATGTTTTTATAGCACCAGATCCAGGTTTCCACACTCCCGTTTCCTCTAATGTCTCTGTCCTTTGAGATCCGCACTGAAGTTTGGACCAGTGACTCAAGGATGGCCACTTGGGAAGGGCTGTATCCCTAAAGGCTAGGAAGCTGAGGATGAGTCAAAAGCAAGTGGAGCCAAAGGCTGAAATTAAAGAGACACATCACCAGACTACACAGGATCTTACAATCTTCTTCTAGCCATGGAGAATTCAAGATATATTCAGAGACTTTTAAATGCCTGAAAATATTTTCCTAGAAGTATCTGCTAGCTGACCTTCCCCCCTCTACCTCCATGGACTGCGCATCCACAAGATGGCATATTCTTTTTAGGTTTTTGGAAATTAAAATTACAGCATTTCTCCCTTCCCTTTTTTCTCTCCAAACTTTTCCATCTATCCCTCCCTGCTCTTCTTCAAATTCTTGTCCTCTTTTTTCATAATTTGTTGTTATATGTACATATATATTCCTAAATATAACCTGTTAAATTCATATAATGTTGCTTGTATGCTTGTTCTCAGTACTGACCATCTGGCACTGGGCAACCAATTGGTGTGTTCTTTGCATACTCTTCTTAAGGGCATCAGTTTGGTGCAGGGTTTCCCACTTCCCAAGGCATTACCTCAGAGCCTTCATTTGAGTTCCTGGTTATTTTTTTCCTTTCATTACCACATTGTTACTATATACAGTACCACAATTCTTTTTATTCTTTAGCCTCCATGAACCTTTCTGTAGGAGTAAGCCCAATTTCTTGTCTTTGGCTCTCTCCATTTAAAGTCCAAAAGTAGGTTCTGTTTCCCAGATTGGGTTCTGACTGAAACAGAACACTCAGGGATTTGGGCAAATGGTACCTTTACAATGCTGTTTTGTGATGAGCATCTCAAGGAAGAGACATTTTGACTGAAGCGTTAATGGAAGGGACTTGGGAAATGACAGTCACCGAATCTGATTTTGGATAAGAGTGATTCTCGATTCATTTTTACACTGTCTTCCAAGGTAACAGAGGAGCACATTCCTCAAATGCCAGAAAAAGAACCAGGCAGAAAGTAAAAATTTGAAGGACCGGATTCCAGGAGCCAACCCTGTCTTTTGTGTTTCTTGAATTTGCAGCCTAACCCAAAGTGACCGGTGAGGTCACCTGAGCTCTGGGAAAATCCTACAGTCACTCCCTTTTGAGAAATCTAAGGTTTGTCATGACCTCTGTTTCCTGGTGACTGACCTATGAGGCTGGGCTCCTCATGTTTCTAAAGGAGCTCAGACAAGTCACACTCATGATTATTCTGTGATTTCTTCACCTGAGACTCCCAGGAGCAAGACTCTGACAGGAGGAACTGGGTATCTTCCATGTTGCCACACCCCACAAAAGAGTCTGGAGCCTCCTGCACTCACCTAGATAAATGACACAGGCTCCGTCAAAGCTCATCACAGCACCTGGGAGCTGTCCCAGCTGTGACTTGGTCTCCTGGACTTTCCATAAAGCATCTTCTTGGCAGGTACAGTCCATACCTACAAAACTTTAGACTCCGAGGCTTTCTGTTCCTTAGGGCTTAGTGAATGGGAAAAAAAAATCTAACCATGACTCTGGGCCCTACTCTATGTGTGAACCTCTGTCTTTCTCTTCTGAATTGCTGGGATTCTGGCCAAACCACCCAACGTGAAGCTCTCCCTTGCCTTAGGCAGAAAGAGTTGGCAGTGAAGGGGAAAAGCCTCTGGGGGAAAGATGTACAAGGAATTGGGCACTGGGGGAATGTTTAAGGCCAAATGTTATTTATGGCCTTGAGATCTGTAGGGAGATAATGTTATTGAGATTTGGGGGTAGAGGAGAATTTCGCTGGCTCTTCTGTCTCCAGTGCCTTGAGGTTTGGTTGCAGGAGGTGGCTTAGCTCTTCTGACTAGAGCATCGTGTCTGGTTATTCACTTCGGTTCTATCCTGAATGAGAGCCCAGGGATTCAGGGTTTTGAAAAGTCTTGGAAATGTCTCCTGAAGCTTATCTTTCCTCCTGATGTCTCTTCCTCCCTCAGGTACCAGGACAAGCTTACTATGGCAAACAATCAAGGAAATGACATATTTGGAGGTGATACTGGGAAAGGGACATTAGAGCGCTGGAGAATTTGCATCCTCATATATGTCCTCTGGGCACCCCAGAATTTCATCCTATCCCTCAGATATGGCTCTTGGCACATAGCAAGGTGCCCATATGCCACTAGGCCTTCATTTTCTGCAGGGTGGAGACCATTGCTTAGCCACTGCTCTAGCTACGGCTCACAGCATCAGGCCAAGCAGCTGGGTCTCAACACATAGGAAGTGTAGAATTACTTGTCACACTGTCTTAATTGTTTGTCCTCTTAGAACAGTAATCCTTAGTGGCCTTTGCTTACCATGGATTTACTGCAAAGAAAGTCCAGGTTGATGGGCTACATCAAGGCTGCCAGTTTAGGGATGTAAACCCCTGGATGCAAACCTTCATTACAGAAAGGCCCCTGGGTTTAGTTCATTTTCCTCCTATTCTTGAGACTTAATCTTCATGCCTGTCATTTGTTTTCATTCCAACAGCCAGAAGCACTCCTCAGTCTGGGAGGGTTTCTGACCTGGAGCAGCAGGTGTGGATCTTTCGTGGTCAGGGCCTTGTGGTGGTTCCATGGAGTAGCAACATAGCCCCAGGTCAGTGGTCACCTGTCACTGCTTTGCTCCTTACACAGTCTCTGTTAAAGAAAGTGTCAGTACCCTATCATATAGCAGGTTGACCACAGTTAACAGTAGTCAGAAGAGAGCTTCTTGAGTGTTTGACCAGAAATAAATGCTAAATATATGAGATGAAGGATTACCGAGTTTCTGGTTTCCTCATTGATGTATGGCATAGACGTGCATTAAACCAATATTTTGTGTACCTCCAAAATATGTCGAATTATGTATCAAAACCGAACTTAACTTTCCATGGGGCTTCCCTGGAAGGGGCAGAATTTTACTCCTGTCAGGGAGAGGTTTGGACCAGACTAGAGTAACACAGTCACCAACAGATCTGTCCTATGGAAGGGGAAGATACATGTCTATATACATGAAGGCATCCTAAGAGGATGAAATGAGCTGGAAATACAGAAAGATAAATTTCAACATCCCCTTAGGCTAATGGTCACAGCTCTCCAAGGGCCAGAGATACGGCATAGGGTAGGAGCTACGGCTTCCAGGTGTTTAAGCACAGGTGTGAACATCTCAATCCTACCATCTGCTTAACTCTGTGCAGGCCCCAATAGCTAGGACAGGGCTTGCCTGTCAGGATGGATGGGTGAGTGGGTGGATGACCACTTAGTTAGTCTGGGTAGCAGGGGTTACACTCATCAAGCGTCCTCTGGCCTCGCTTGACAAGCGCTGCTCTGCTAAATCGAAACAATTAGAGCACTCTGTCTTCCCGGCCTCAGAAGGAAATTGTTGTCTTCTTATCCGTACAGTCACCATCACGGTCCTCGCATGCAAGTATCCGGAGTCTCTGGAGCAAGGCAAAGGGATTCCCATTTATATGGGAATCCAGAATCCAGACAAATGCCTGTTTTGTGAGGAAGTTGATGGACAGCCCACTTTGCAGCTCAAGGTCGGTGACCCAGAAAAATAACATAAAGATAAAAAAGCCTGCGTTTCTTTTCTTATAGTTTTCATTTTTAAGTTAGCATAGAAAGCATTAGGTTGCATGTGGCAGTGTTTAAGCAAAGCGTGTTGTTAGTGGACCCTCAACATCCCAGCTCCCTCCTTTAACCTCACCTCTAACTCTCCACCAGCTTCCGTTCTGTTGTTGCACATCACACACGTCCTTTTTCCTTCCCCCACTTCGTCCCCTCTCCCCCTCCCCGCTTGGTTTCCTTTCTGGTGTTGAAGAAAAACTCGTGTATCTTGACATGGTTTATTTGGCAGGATATCAAATTTCAGAATTAACAAAGAATTTTCTTTTCCTCAGCATGTTTGGGTTTAGCCCCTTTTAAAATACGGGCATAACCTGTAGCGGTCTACCTTCATTGTCAGCTGTGGAAAGACCAAGCCCTGCCTTGACTTACCAGAAGCCATGGGCTATAGCTTGGTATTTTAAGCCAAATAAACTCTTTCTCCCCTGGAACAACATAAAAAAAACAGACATGTAAAAGACTTCAATTTATCTGCCCTTCTTTGGTTGAGGATTTTAGTCTTTCTTAAATTTTAAGATGTCCTCTGTCATTGTGCCTTCACGTGTGCCCTTTCCCTAATTCTCCTGGATTTCTCAGTTTACAATTCCTAGTCACCAGTCAGAGGCCTTGCCTGAGTACTGTCTACTGTCTTATGCAATTGCCATGCTTTCTGTCCTCCCACTGTTTATTCATTTACACATTGGCCTTGCCTTCTAGAACTTCTCAGCCAGTTTATAATTATGCTTTTGTCTTGGTTTGCCTGCTAAATGAGCCTTCCTTAACCTTTTCTAAAAGGTTCGTCTTTGCTCTTCCAATTCCTAAGCTGTCAAGTTGGTTGTATTCATTATATACACACATAGAAATATAGATGCATAAATATAATTTCATTTATATGTATGCTCTCCATAAACCTCACTTTAATTAGGTTAATTCAACTCAATACAATTTAGCGTAGCAAAATATGCAGAAATTTAATTATATCACATGACTACATGGGATATCTTTAAACAGAATGACAAAGGGCTCTGAGCTTGTCCAGCCTAGATTATAGAAGAAGAGGAGACATACAAATTTTAGATATAATAGTACACTTGTCACATATCCTAGGGAAAACAAAGCAAAACAAATGTGCTCCACCAAAAAACAAAGCAAAACAAAATCAGATCAGGGCTGAGCCTGGGAGTAGCAGAAACAGGAGTGGAGTCAGGCCCCGGTGTAAATTATTTGGTAGGTGTCATTGTGTAGGAGGAATTCTTGGAGTGAGCAGGAGGCTGGGAAGTCAGCAGGTGAGGGTTGGCCCCTGGGCCAGTGTAGACAGGTGTGTAGCAGTGAACTGAGACCAGACCTCTGCCAGGACCTGGCAACCCACCCAAGTGAAAGGAGAAACCTGGGATGCCTTGAGCAGGGTGACCCAAAATAACTGAGATCTAAAGTGGATCACTCTGACCGCAGGTTGATCAGAGAGGGGGGAAGAAGGGAAGGCCTCAGGAGGCTTTATGGGGAGTTAGGTGGGAGTCGATGGCTCTGGGATGGTATGGAGTGGGTGGGGGTAGATTCTGAAAACATTCTAAGTGTCAACAACAAGATTGTTGACAGAGTAAATGTGATTGCGTTCTGAGCTCTGTCCTGCTTTTTTCTAGGTCTCTCTTCTGTTGGATTTTTGATCACAGTCATTGATAATGTATGGATTTTAGGGGATCTTTAATGAGATAGCGTTGGGGGTTAAATCTTGCTTACACAGAGTGAGTTTAAAGAGATAAACCAGACGGCAAATATTGGCAGCTATCACGAGGGGTTTTCTGTAAAGTAAGAACTGACAGAGGTGTTGGGTCATTAGAATACAGTTATGTGACACGTGACATTGGTTTGGGTGTGGATTTCATGCACAGTGGTCTCCTAAGATGATGTCATCCAGAGACATTGTCACTGCTTTGGGTGTGTAAGCAGTGTTGGAGTGTTGACGCAGTGGTGAAATCATCAACGATTACTCTCAGCGTGTGTCTGTCGTTCAGTGCCGTGCCTATGTTTTTTAAGATGAAAGTAAATATAGAGATAAAAATGATTGAGCAGAGAAAACAAATGTGGGTGCTGCATGAGAGAGCATGAAGGCCAGCTTAGAAGAATGTCCGTGGATGAGGGAGTGGAGAGAAGCCATGTCTATTCATTCTCAGGTAGGAAGGACAGGTATGGACGAGATGTGTCCGGTCAGTAGGTGGTTAGGAGACCTCATCCAGGCTTCCTCAGGGAGTTGGAAACTGGAAGTGATGATGATAGAAGTGGGGTGGGAGGCTAGAAATACAAAGGCTTCCCTGTTTGACAGTCAGCCAATCTCTGCTGAGCCAAATGTCAGGATAGTCTGGGAAAGTCTGAGAAGCATTCGTGGTTGGTGGGTAGAAATGCTAAAGGCAGAGGGTGTTTGCTAGTGAAAGAGAAAACACAGAACAGAGATAGTGAGAGGCAGGGAGAGTTGACGCATGTTCATCTGCCTCCCTTCCTTTCCTTTCCCTTTCTGCATCTTTCTTTTTCTTTTTGTAGAGGGGGCGCATTAGTAGAGACTAAACCGAAGGCCTTGCACTTGCTAGACACGCTCTACCACTGAGCTAAATTCGTAACCCCTGAAATGTCTTTTCTTGTTCTGTTGTAAGAGAGGCTTCCTTGAGCTCGGGAATATATATTTGTTCTGCAAAAATAGCTTTGCCTATCAGAAGCAGCTTCTATTTTGCTTATGTGTATTCTCTCTCACACACAGGAGGAGGAGATTTTGGGTTTGTACAACCATCCTGAGCCCAAGAAGCCCTTTCTATTTTACCATACCCAGACGGGCAGAACGTCCACCTTTGAGTCAGTGGCTTTCCCTGGCAACTTCATCGCATCCTCCAAGAGTGGCGAGCCCATCTTCCTCACGTCAGAACAGGGGAAATACTACAACATTAACTTCAATTTAGATATAGGGCCTTGAACTCAGCATAGAGGTAGGGGGTTGGCTGGGAAGTCTTTGTCTTAAAACTTTTATTTGATCTGTGGTGTTTTCATACTGAGAGGTGAGCAGGACCAGCATTATCTCACTTCATAGACGAAGGAGCAATAAAGCAAGATGTGTACTCCAAAATAGGTGGGATGGGAGCCGTGTAAGGCTGTTCTCTAAGGCTGCAGTGGTCCAAGCCCCCAAGGCATCACGCCTGAGAGATAGGGTGCTGTCCCTAAAACACGGTGTAGAAAACCTGGAATGGCCTGTGAGTGGTGACATCCTTGTGTCCAAGCCATCGACCTAACTCACACCAGGTTTTACACACTTGGAATATCAAATCCTTGTATTCGAGTAGCAGAGGCTTCACAGTAACGTTCACTGTGGCAGCCAATTACTTTGATCCTTTAGCAGCTGTGTGGAACTGGACACTCCAGCAAAGGGATTAGATTCCTGGGTGAATGAGTAGCCTTAAAAACATGTTTAGGGCTATGACAACTATGTTGGGGGTACAGTGGTTGCTCCATGAAGAGTGAGGATGCAGCCTGGTGACTAATAAACAGTTAGATCAAGTAACTCAGCTTGGGCAACCCTTTTCTGAATCATCTCGGGGGAGATGAGCACTGAGAACAATGTGTATGAGTAATAGTTCATGTCAATAAAACATTACCTCTTATTACTTTAGACTTCCATCCGTGTTTTAATATTCCTTCCATTACAAGGCACATCTGCGGTTAAAGCATTGGTATCCCACCCTAGTCCTGCCTCCCTAAGGTGCTTCCTCTTCTTCAGTTCATTTTTCCCCCTTCAGCTTGCTTCCATGCACAGAGATGCACATGGGAGCAATGGGAGTAAGCATGAGTCACGGGGAGTTGTACCTTCCAACAGCGAGATTGGGAGAGCCTCCTACACAGTGGCCCAGGATGGTCTTTTTGCCTGCTTTTAAGATTTGGATAATTTACTTTATTATTTTTAAGTGTGTGTGTGTGTGTGTGTGTGTGTGTGTGTGTGTGTTCGTGAATGCAGGTACTATTGAAGGCCAGATGAGGCTGTTGAATTCCCTAGAACTTGGCATTACAGGAGGTTGTGAGATGTCTGATATATACTGGGGACCTAACTCAGGTCCTCTGCAAGAGCAATGCATGCTCTCAACCACTGATCCATCTCTCCAGTCCATGGATAAATTTTTAAATGGCGTCATTTTCTCCTGCATTTTTATTTTATGAATGAGGACAGGAAGGAATGTGGAGTGGGTAAGAAATGCAGAGAATGGCACTAACATTGAGTACTATAACTGAAAATAATGGCATTCTTGATTTGGGGACTTCAAATTTCTGTCTGCTGGAGTTGAGCCATTATGAAACACAGTATAAGAAGAAGCTGGAGTGTTATCTGGAGAGTTAGAATCCTTTCAGTGACAGCCCAGAGGAAGAAGGAGCAGGAACAACACAAGGTGGAGGATGGTGCTCTGGATGAGGGAGCACTAGGCAAAGCAACAAGGATCTTAGAGAGCACGACAGCCCCTGGTACCCCTGGCGCCTGCCCTGGAGACTGCAACACCGTCACCTCTGCCACCTCCAGAAGAAGTGGAGGGTGCTGTACCCCTGCTGGGCAGAGTGCTGCAGTGCCAGATCTGAGGGATGTGGTGCCTCGAAGTGGAAGACAGGAGGGCAGCCAGGGTGCTCCATAACCTGTACCGAGAGCAAGCAGGGCTCCCGTGGACAAGGCTGGAAGTCCAGCCTAATAAACTGCGTTCCTACCCTCCCTCAAAAAAGAAAATAAATCAATAGAAATGACCCTGAACAATATTGAAATGGTCCACATGAGATGGATAGTGACAACTACACTGATCAAATCAATTACAAATTTTGAGTTCTTTATTAATAGCCAAACTAAGAATGGACTCACATCTTCGGAAAGTCTCTTGGTTAGTCTCTTGGTGCCCAAGTTCAAGGGTACAGCATTTTAAAAGATAAAACCATAATTATATCAGTGTTAGGGAGCTGTGTTACGTTAGTCTGGGAGGTTTGGGAGTTGCCTAGTAACATCTACTTTCTTTACAAGGCTCATCAATATCTTCCAGACACTACACAGTATGGTTGGACCATGGTCAAGGTCATGGAGTGTCCCAGAAGTTTTGTCTAGGAGAATGTGACTGTTGGTGGAAGGCTGAGACGTGACCAGGCAGGCACAAAATAATATTGGGATAGGATGGTGTTACCTTAGTTATTTCATGATGTTATGATGTATGTGACAAAATTTCTCCTAGGGAGACACAACACACATTTCTACTTACACAAAAGAGGGATCCCATGACATGACAGACCAAATTACAGATACCTCCAAAGACCAGCTTGGTAAATCAATGAGTTTTATTAGGGTTACATACAGGAATATAAGTGAAGGGTTACTTACAGGAGCAGAACTCAAAGACAACTGCGTCACCAAAACCCACCCCAGCATGGACAAAGGCTAGGAAACCTGGAGCACATTGTACAGCCTGCAGACTACTCAACAGGTTGAAGCGTGTCCTTGCAAGGTGCCTCAGTTGATCTGAGTCTCTCCCAGCCAGCTCTGCTGGTTTCTGTTCTTTCAGGCAGAGGTCTGATCTCAATCTTCTCTACACTTTAGCTTCTCTGAGGAGAACTCTCAGCTTTTATTGTTAATTCTGTCTGGGAGGGGCTAGTGAATCTGGTCAATTTCAGGAATTTCCTGAAGCTATTTTGCGTTGTTTACTTTCCGGCTTAAGGAGCTTCCCTAGAGGGATAGACTGTTTCAATCTTGGCAGAAACTTGTTGCCTAACAGGTAGCAAGCTCAGGGGCACCTCCCTCCCATCCTTGAAGCTGGCCTTATTTTGCAGGCAGATGACTCACCCAAATGCAGTACCTCTGGCCACCCAAATATGATTATGTAAAGACACAAGAGCTGACATGTACTTATTTCACTGCATTTCTCAAACTTGAAACAGCATCAGAGTTGCCAGGGGCATGTGCTAGACCTTCACAAACCCCACACCTAGTAAATTAAAACGTCCTAGACATTGCAACATGTCCCCTAGGGACTGCTGGCTGACTAACGCTTCCCTGGATCCTCTCAGTATAATTTTCTAGTAGATATACTCGGATTAATCATAGTTAGGACTATATGTGTGCTTCTGTAGAAATCAAGTTATCTTAAAATGTGTATGTTTCTTGCTGATGTTGACATTTTCCCCCTGAGGCCTTTACCTCTTGAGTGATTTAAAATTGAGCTGTGCAAAAGGACTTGCATAAAAATGTTCAAGCCTTGGAATCAAATTTCATAATACTTTAAGCATAGAAAGAACCCAAATTCCTATCAACCAGTGACACACACAATGCATTCAATATTACCCAGTAAAGGAAAAATGCTGATTGTAGTAGGAGCAGCGGGCTGCGTCCTGCCCAGATCCCAGCCGCCTGGCTAGCTTATGCCCTGAAATAATTACACAGAAACTGTATTCTTTTAAAACACTGCTTGGCCCGTTATCTGTAGCCTCTTATTGGCTAACTCTCTCATCTTGATTAACCCATTTCTAATAATCTGTGTAGCACCATGACTTGGTTGCTTACCAGGAAGGATCTTAACCTGTGTCCATCTTGGAGAGGAGAGGCATGGTGACTGCCTGAATCTGCTTCTTTCTCCCAGCATTCTGTTCTGTCTACTCCACCTACCTAATTTTCTGTCCTATCAGGGCCAAGGCAGTTTCTTTATTAACCAATGAAAGTAACACATAGACCCTCCTCCATCAGCTGATATTAGATGAACGACATAAATGCCCCAAGAATGATAAGCACAAGAGGGATATAATGTATGGGTTCAAGAATAGGTGAAACCAATTTTGATGATAGAAATCAGCACCAATGCTTTGAGGGATGGGGACGCAGTGGTAATTTCTTAAAAACTGCTAAAGAATAAAAACCAGACCCATCCAAAGGATGGGAGAACCACAGTAGCTTTGCAGTCCTCGCTGTGACCAAGTGCACCAGAGGCCATTGGAGCAACACTTGGTAGAGGAAAATTATTTCCATGGTAGAAGTCCTTACACACATACTTTATTGATTAAGAATAAAAGTATAATGATCCCATTCAAGGAAGTTTATTTTCAGAGCTGGCAAGATGGCACAACGGGTAAAAATGATTGCTGTCCAAGGCTGATGTCCCAAGTTCCATCTCTGAAACCCACAGTAGGACAACAGAAGTAAAGACTGACTCAGGAAAATTGTCCTCCGACCTTCACACATGTGTCATAACACATACATGTACACATACTCTCTCACACACAATAAATAAATTTTAAAAGTTTTAAAATGACTTGTTTCCACATGTTTTGCTTTTTAAAAAATTGCTAAAGAGATGTCTCCCCAAACAATAGAAAAATGTGGCCTCCTTAAAGTAGGATGTCTTCAGCAGAGAACAGGAAGGTGAGCCTGCCTGATAATGGTAAAGGAACACCCCAGAAGATAACCAGGCAGAGCAGAGCTTTTCTAGGCTCAGCAGAAATAACCCAGTCAGGTAGACAGTGAGCTCAGTGTGTTTAAATGAATTAGAAAGATTTTGATGGTGGGAAAATTAGTGGGGGAGATAATGAACCCTATATAAAAATAAGAAAAATTCTATGTCATAGTACATGCCTGGAATCTTAGTGCTCAGAGAGCTGAGGCAGGAGGATAATGAGTATGAGGCCAGGCCTAGGTGGAAAGAGAAAGAAAATGGGAGGGGAAAAAAGAGAGGAAAGAGAGAAAAACAGACAAGTAGACAGACCGACAGAGGCAGAAGCAGAGAAACAGAGAGGTTAAAGAAGCCCTGGGCAGCACACTAGAACTGACCCTGATGTCAGAGATGCAAGTGAGCCAGCAACAGAGCAGGCCCTCCCCTCCCCCTGCCTGTCATGCTATGTCAGGGATGAAGGAAAGATGGTCTCCCTCCTCTACCCCTTGCTACTGTGGTAGGTGAGAGAGTTGGTCCTGCACCC